GTGACATTCACCAAACATTTACTACAGGTGAATCTTCCTGGTGTGCATGTGTGTTTTCCAATTACAGCGATTAATTCTCCTGCAGCGTATGTTCAGTAAATGTCAAATTCACTCTTTTATAAAATATGCCCCATAATTTAAAAAAGGAAGACAAATGATATACAGTATGTAATGTTTGTATTCATATTTGTTCCCCTTCACGCTAGTAAATTAGCAGGGTGCATTAAAATAATTGCACACACAAGGCAAATGCGATTAAGACTGTTGGAAACTTCAGCCCGATATTTTGCTTACCTTTACAAACTGAATTTTTAAAGTAAAACTTTAAATTGAAAGCAGCAGAACTTTGGTATGACAACCTTGTACATTTTTGCTCCATTTTTCAGAGGAAAGTGTAAACATTGTGATGTTATATGAGATCTTCAAAAATAAAACCAGTACGAATGCATCTGTGACTCAATTTAGTAAAATGAAACAATGTACAGTGTGTTCCAGGTAATAAAGGTTTCGAGATTGGAAGCAGAAAGTCAGTATCCCGAACATGTTCAAAACATATTTTTCAGTAATCAAAATACCTTTCTACATTTTTGTTTCATTTTTTTTTATGTATTTGCTTTTTAAGATATATTGGATATTTTCACCTTTCTGGGGTAAATATTTAAAGCTGAATTCCAGGTATAGCCATTTTTACATAGTTACATAGCTTGGACTATTGTATGTATTTTTGTGGGATCCTCGTGCAAGCTGCAAATCACTGTAGTAGGCTGCTACATTGACCTCCAAATAGCTCCTGGGTCCTGTGTTGAATTGCTCAACTTCTGCTTACTGAACACAGAAAGCTGCCCGCTTGGCACCCGTGCTAATCAGGGAACAGTTTGCATGTTCTCAGTAAATACAAAGTGTTTGCTGATTGAATAATGTAGAGAGGCAGAGCAGTAATGACACAATCTTTTTCATTCTTGCTCACTTTTTGCATTCATTGAGAAGGCAAGGTTTTCTCTGAATGGTGCCCATGTTGAGCAGACATTCTCCTTTGTTGAGTAAGAATAAGTGAGCTACTTGGCACGGGACCAGCAAGCCAGCAGAGATCACTTTAGTAGCTGTGTGTACTACAGTAGTTTTTTTCATGGGGATCCCACAATTATAGCACATACTGTACATACTTTCACTAGCCCAAGCAGGACTAACATAATTTTATAAAAATTGCCACATTTGGAATTCATCTTTAATTGTGCATGTAAATATTTCATATTACCATTTCAGGTGGCTGACTGCAAGGAGAGCATCTGTTTTCTGCAAGATGCAAAACACTTAGGACTCATTCATTTTAAATGGCACCCCCAACACACCTGTGTTGCACTGCACCACATCTCACAATAATACATTAACATCCATTGTAGTGAACTACACAAGAACAATCGTTCAGGGGCATGGACTGTCATAATGCAATGTTTGCTGACATGCTACATAATGCATGTATTAACATTAGCACATGCATCAACACACTGTAGTGGACTTCACAGGCCTGAATAGGACCTTGATGTTATTAAAGTGATTCTAAAAATTTATTTTTTTTAAGAAAAAACAACAAACATGTCTAGACTTACCTGCTGTGTGCAGTGGTTCTCCTGGCCCCTCATTCCTGTTGGGTGACCCCACAGCAAGAAGCTTGTGAAGGGTGGCACCCGCTGCTTCATGTGTCCATTCACACACGGAGCTGCAGCTCAGTCCTGCCCCCCCTGTCTTCTCGTTGGCTCATTGGCTGTGATTGAAAGCAGTGGGATCCAATGGCTCCTGCTTCTCTTTCAGTCAATGAGAAGAGGGAGTCCTGGCATAGCCGAGACTCCAGTGCTGGATCCAGACAGGACTTAGGTGAGTATTAGGGGGAGCTGAAGGGGTGCTGCACACAGAAGGTTTTTTACTTTCATGCATAGAATGCATGAAGGTAAAAAACCTTGAGCCTTTAAAACCACTGGAGTAGTAATTTTATATGCAGGCTGCCTGGAGCTATCCATAAAGTTCCAGGGATTTTAATTAGGAAGCCCTGTATGGGTACCAAAGAAGCTCCTTGTCATAAATATGTATTTGTAAATTTAGATGTTGTTAAAACTAAAGAAAATGAATTAAACTATATTTTGTATTGTGTTATTTAGAAGTAATATATGACATTTTGTTTTGGGTACTCATTCGAACAGGTGGTTCAGAACTCAGCAAACAGGTCTGATGCAAAGCAGACTGCCCGCTGAGTGACAGTAGCTCTGATTGGCTTTAGTACTGGAAACACCAACTGTCAGTGACAGCCATGGTTCAGCAATAGGCCTGGGAGCTAAATCATTCAGCTCCTGGACTTCTCCCACTGACGCTGAGCACTTCATGGGATTTTCTGCACTTTGTTTACAATGGAACTGAAAAAAAACATCACATTACTCTGCAGCAACAGATCACTGCTATAGTGATCTATTGTTGGCTGATTGCAGACAACAGTAGATCACTTTTAGAAGTAATCTGTTGCTGCACAGATGCCTAGTGAGTCTAAATTGGGTCTTCAATGACCAGATCAAGCACTCCATAAAGAGAAAAAAGATCAGAAGTTTCATTCATCCCTTTGTAAAGCAGGGTGTCAGTGGACTTGTTTCCATGTACATCCTGCCTACCTCCAGGTCTGATCAGGCCTGCTAAGAAAATTGAGAGATGACTCCATCCTCTTCCATTTAGATGGAGTGGATCGGAGGTAGCTGGGTGTGAAGGGATAGTGGAGTCCTCTGCTTGTGTCCCCTCTGCAGGTAATCAATGGACACTAATGTGTAATTTTTCTGCTCTGCTCTGCTCTGCTCTGCTCTGATCGGCAGGGGATCAGCTCACTGATCCCCTGCTGATCACAACAGAATCTACACTTCTGAAGGGGGCCAGAAGGAGAAGGTGAATCTTACCAGAGGGAAGACATACAGATAGTAATAACAGATTAACAGGTGTTAACCCTCTTTATCCCAGAACTATATAAATGTTTTGCCTTTAGATATGCTGTATTGTAATTAAAATGGTATATTTCAATCTGCATTCAGGTGATTTATAAAACTGAAAAAAAAATTATTGCTGGTTTATAAGCATGTAACATTTGAGGTGTCCTGTTTAATTCTTCCCAGCCATGTCATTTCCTTATTATAACAGGAATGATCATAACAGGCAAACTCTCCCACTCAACACTTAGGAAGTACGAATGCATGTGTCAGCTTCAGCAGAAGAACAGCAGGATATTCTTGTAGTGTACAAATATAACTATCCTGGATTTATTTCTCTCAGTAAAAGCAGATTAAAACTTTTTAGGTCAGTGTGACTAGACAGCAAAGAGGACGAAAAGATAAAAGTCGTCCCCTTAACAGGTGCAGACTGACAACTTATGGGCCCCCCGGGCAATAAGGGATCATGGGGCTCCTGTGTCCTTCCCAAATGCTAAAAAAACCTATGAAAAAGATACCAAGGGCATCTCATCGGGCCCCCTATTGACCCTGGGCCCTCGGGCAGTGCCGAGTTTCCAAATGGTCAGTCCGCCCCCTACCCCTTAACAATTGTTTCTATGGTTCATGTAACAGCTCTCCCTAGTGTGTTGTGATAAGCAGTCTGAACATTATGTTGCCTCAGACACCTAAAGAAAAAAAGAGTTGAACAATGACCATTAACCACATCCTGTCCTTAGGCTGTATATAAACAGCCTAACGTTGAAGTGGTTACACCGGGATCATGGCTGCAGCTACATTCATGATCCCGGTATAGTTTTTCAGGGCCAGCAATGCTCTTTTTTGTAAAAGTAATCAGAGAGACTAAACAACCGCTGGATTACCTCTATAGGTGGTGTAAGGGGGTCCCTTCTCCCACAGCCTGGTAAGGATGCGACCTGTGGCATCCAGGTCCAGGCACACAGTATGATGTTGTTCCTCCCACTGTGTGATGTCAGAAATCAGAAGCCCAGTTAGCCTTTAGGCCAGAGGAAATAATATCTGGGGTCTTTTCATAAAGAGGACCTGTCATGCTTATTGCTATCACCAAGACTGTTGTTTACCCCTTGTGATAGCAATGAAGTTAATTTAAAGTGTTACTAAACCCACAACAGTCAAATCAGTCTGTATATGCAGTTAGGCATGCTTGTTATACTCACTGTGAAGGGGTTAATCCTCCTCATTGTATAAAAAGGCTGTTTGATCCTGTCTTCTCTGATTCACCCCTTCTTATAATGTCCCCAATTCATCTGCTGATAGTACAGAGCTCCAGGAGTCACTCTGCACATGCTCAGTTTAAGTTTAGTGAGTGTTGCTAGAGTTTTTTTTTTTCTTTGGGAAGGTGCATCAGCACAGAGCCAATCAGCACTGTCCAGACCCAGGGTCAGGGGTCATGCAGTCTCATAGGACAGTCAGAGGAGAATGAAAGCTCCTCCTACAAGATTAATCAGTGCTCAGCTGGACACTGATAGAAGTCACATGACTGCTATATACTGCTGATAAGAAAAGGTATTTAGCAGTTTATATTTACATCAATAATTGCATTTCCATGTTCTGTGTACTGTGGGAGACAAGATATAGTGAATGCAGGGTCCTGGGTTTATTAACACTTGAAAACAAAAATTAAAAGTTAAAATTGCTTTAAATAAAAAATAAAAATAATATATGTACATGTTTTTTTTTCAAAGCGCCCCCGCCCCCCCAGTGCTCACTCACAAAGGCAAATGCACGTGCCAGTCCCATACACATATATAAACAGTGATCGCACCACACATGTGAGGTATAGCCATGAATGTCATAGTGAGAACAATAATTCTAGCACCAGATCTCCTGTGTAATTCTAAACTGGTAACCTGGAAAGGTTTTTAAAGCATCACCTACGGAGCTTTTTAGGTGCCATAGTTTGGTGCAGTTCCTTGAGCATGCACAATTTAAAGGTGTGACATGTTTGGTATCTATTTACTCAGTTTAGCATCATCACCACGAAATGGGAGGTCAATAAGCCACAGTTTAACCTCCCTGGCGGTATTCCCGAGTGTAGCTCGGGGTAAAGTTTCAGCACCACAAGCGGTAACCTGGAGCTACACTCGGGAATACCCTGCAGCGCTGTTCCGGGATCTCTTCCTCACTTACCTTGTCCTGCACTCCCACGATGTCCCTCTTGCAGTGTCTCCGGAAATGTCCTCTGGGTTCCATTCCCTGCGACGTCAGAACGTACGGGGGACAGAACGGCTGGAAATTTAAAAATGTGAAAAAGTGACATTCACTAAATACACTAAAATCACATAGTAAAACATTACTGTATCAAACCATTTCACATACATTTTGTCCCGAGTGCTTTGTCCTGCGCCCTGCCTGCATTTTTACTGTTCTTTCTGCCTGAAACTGAGAAAAGTCCATGGCATCCAAAAAGCGTCCCTTTAGGTCAAAAGTGGTTTTAGACCAGCTAGAGAACACTTGCATATAACTTGAACATAATTGAGTAATAATGATTCGTGGGGAAATTCATCATCAGACACTGAAAACGATTTTGCGACTTTGCTCAGTGATGTGCAAACTTGGTGCTATATTTCAAATTTCAGTGTTTTTGGTTTGATTATATTATTGAATTACATTTATTATATTATTATTATTTATGATTATTTATTCAATTATAATTTATGATTTCGTGTTTCAAATTTTAACATACCCGGAATGTTTACTAGACTCTTGTTCGGACAGAGTTATTCCTAAAATTACAGGCCTACAATAAAAAAAAATACATATTTCCATGCAAAAAAAGTACTGCTTTGAGCACAGAAATACTGACATAATCAGACCGCTAGGGAGGTTAAGAAGCCCTTAGCAACCTTTGGAGGAGCCCTGGTTTAGAATGTCTGCTTTAGCCTGTTTCCAGAGACAACCTGCAGTTCTATATTAAAGCGAAGGTCCACCAAAAAGAGGAAGTTCCGTTTTAAGGACTGTTCTCCCACTCGCTGATAAGGATTGGCACCTCTGAGGAGCGGGTACCTGAAATTGACAGGTACCCCCTCCCACTTCTGCAGTGATTGCCTAGGCAGTTAGAAGCAGAAGTTGTCCTCCCCCCTCCCTCCCAGTAGTCTTCAGGGACATCTGACAGGTCCCAGAAGACTACTGGACTGTTCACAAAGCGAAGTGCTACTCGTGAATCTGCAGTGAGCACATGCAAGCTGTCACAGCCAGATGTCTACATGGAAGATGCCGGCACCGGGAACACAGAGCGGACAGTGACATGGGCTGTGGGGGGGCACTGCGGGATCGAGAGACAGGTAAGTGTCCATTTTTTAAAAGTCAGCAATCACAGTTTTTGTAGCGGCTAATTTTTATTTATTTTTTTTTATTTTCACTGGAACTCCGTTTTAAACAATATAGGTAGGGCAGCATAATTTATAGCTTGATTTATATTCTTTACTTATGTAGCGCCATACGAAGAGTCTCACCGGTGAGTCATTGAAATGCTTTTAATCTCTACAAATAGCTGTCCTTCTTCTGCTGTGGATTCAGCCAGAAAGAGGCACCATGGGGGAGATGTACTAAAACTGGTGCTCTCAGAATCTGGTGCAGCTTTTTATGGCAACCAATCAGATTCTAACTTCAGCTTGTTCAAAGAAGCTTTGGCAATACAACCCGAAAGATGACTGGCTTCTATGCAGAGCTGCACCAGCTTTTGCACCCTCCAGTTTTAGTAAATAACCCCTATTTATTGATGATACAAACATTTCTTTCTTCCCCGTAGAATGTTAGTAGTAGCACAGTTGCCCTTTCATATCTTTGCTAATAGGCTTCTATGGCAGATGATTGGTCTGTTTCAAGTCTATCCAAATATTTATCTCTGTGGTAAAAGAAAAAACATTTGCAAGCTAAATAAAGCCAGCGAAACATGTTTGAATTATTGGCAGGTGACCTGTTACAAATGTACTGTGTTCTACAATGTGTATTGTACTCTTTGAACATTGCGCCCTGACACACTGGCACACCTCTAAAGCATACAGGTTGTAACAGAGCTAGATAATGCCTAAAACATTGAGGGGGGAATTTACCAAACCTGGAACAGAGAGAATCTGGAGCAGATGTGCATCTCAACCTATCAGCTTCTATCTTCAGCTTGTTAGGTTAATCTTGAAAATGAAAGAGAGAAGCTGATTGGTGGCAAAGCACAGATGATCTAAATTCTGGCTATTCCAGTTTTCATGAAGTGTTTTTCCATGTTCATAATGACCAGACGAGGCTGCAAATCCACACGTACATACACAACATAATATAAACAACATATCTAAAAGTATATCTAAACCCAAAAGAAAAAAAATGTATATTGCAGCTAATGTTTTTCATTTAGTTTCACCTGGTAATCCAGCCAGTAAGTCTGTTATTTTTCGACTTCCATTAAAGCAGAACTAAAGGCAAAAAAATACTTACTTTAGTTCCAACGGTCTGATGCCTGCATGGTCCCTCGTTGGTTCCAACATTTTGTCCCTGGCTTCTTCTAGGTGTCATCTTGATTGGCCGGCACAGGATGAGGTCACTCGGGCACATGTGCAGGAGTACAGTCATCATGGCAAACAGCCATGTGTCATAATGTAAACTAAGCTGCACATGCGCAGCTCAGTGAACATTCTACAGGGGATTGAAACAGGCAGGTAAGTATATTTTATTGCAGAAGAGACATTGCATATCTTTTTTGCAATTAAAAACCTGCCTATTTGCAATAAGCGAAAAAAAAGCCTAAAAGCAGATTAATAGGGCAGCCACCACATCCAAAGGTCGGTGAACTGCAGTATATTAGTTTTTTTCTTTTTTAGTTTAGATATGCTCGAGCTGTATTAACCTCCCTAGCGGTATTCCCGAGTGTAGCTCGGGGTAAAATGTCTGTACCAAAAGCGGTAACCCCGAGCTACACTCGGGCTTACCATGCGGCGCTGCATAGGAAGTCCCTGCAGAGCTTACCTTGTCCTTCGCTCCCGCGATGTGTCCCCTGCAGCATCCCCCGGGCCATCTCCTCTGGCTGATGCCGGCATCCGGCTTCTGTGTTCCGGTCCCTGTGACGTCGGGACGTACGGACGCCGCCGCCGCCGGCGGGGGAAATTTGAAAATTTTTAAAAATATGATTTTTTTTAAAACAAATTTTACATAGCAAAACATTGCTGTTTCAACCCATTTCACATACATTTTGTCCCTAGTGCTTTGTCCTGTCCCCTGTCCCCTGTCTGCATTATGTCTGTTCTTTCTGCCTGGAAACTGAGAAAAGTCCATGGCGTCCAAAAAGTGTCCCTTTAGGTCAAAAGCGGGTTTAGATCAGCTAGAGAACAGCGATAGTAAATCAGAACCACTTGCAGAATTGAGTGATAATGATTTGTGGGGAAATTCATCATCAGACACTGAAAACGATTTTGCGACTTTGCTCAGCAATGTGCGAACTTGGCGCTCTATTTCAAATTTCAGTGTTTTTGGTTTGATTATATTATTGAATTAAATGTATTATTATTATATTATTATTTTTTATGATTATTTATTAAATTATAATTTATGAGTTCGTGTTTCAAATTTTATCATACCCGGGATATTTAATAGACTCTTGTTCAGGCAGATTTCAGTGAGTTATTCCTAAAAATTACAGGCCTACAATAAAAAAACAACATATTTCCATGCAAAATAATGGTACCGCTTTCAGCACCAAAAATCTGAAATAATCATACCGCCAGGGGGGTTAATTGTCCCAAACCAGTGTATATGTATATAAAAAGTAAAGGTCCCCCTGATAAACAGATGTTTGCTGATGAAACGCATACAGTGGGACATCCAGGTTACGTAACTTCCGGTCATTGGAACGCAGGTGGAATGGCGTTCTTGTGTATGCTTACGTGTATATATGATTTTCACTATTTGTTAGTGCATTTTAATTAGTTTTGACTTTAAAAAGATGTTATTAAACTAAGAGAGGCTCTTTTATCTCTCCCCTGACATGAGCTGGGCATATTATTCAGTCCTTTCAAAGACATAGGAGCTCTGTTTAAACCACCCAGTCTTTGCATTGGGTTTGAGGTCTGTTGGAGTGTAACAGCTAATCGTGGAGATGACCAGTTGATACTTGGCAAGTGAATGTTGACTTCTTTAATTAAGGGAGTCAATACCCCCTGTTGAATGTGGTGTGTCTCTGTGTGGTGGAAAGGAGAAGTACGATATATGGTGGCACATATTTATCACTATTCTATTTGCACTGTTCACTATTTAGACTTTATTAAGGTCTATGTGGACAATTTATTTGTGAATTTATGCCTGAACTGTATCTTCATTTGGAAGCTTACTCTTGTTTGGTTATAGGCAGGCAGAAACACACTCTCCCCAGCATGTTCACTGTCAGTACATATGCACTGTAGCCAAGCTTGGTTAGCTTACAACCCTTCTCCAAGTTCAAGCGATGCTGTACGTCAGGCCAATGTCAAGTTAAATTCAGATACTCTCGATGTGTTTAATATATACAGTATTACTGCTGCATTCACACTATTCCGTGTGCCTGCAGTAATACAAATGCAATTATATGAATGGGCCCAAATAGTTTCTCTTTCACACTAAACTGCAGTGCACAGCTATAAAGCAGCTACACAAAGCCACAAACAATATAGTTTTATACTAGAAGAGCATCTTCATGGAGGAAGTTACAATAATTAAGAGATTCCTAATGATTTTTTTTAATGACTACAAAGTTGCTTTAATTGGCGCTCCAACACAAAATTGTTAAATAGACTTAAGAAGAGAAAACACTACTTGTCACTAGTACAGAAATGTGCAAATAATAATAGTAATGCAACAGAGGTACTAATCTTTCCCCTTTACTGAATATGATGGTTAAGTTATAGTCTGTAAACCTCTTGAGTAAGGGCAGATGATTCATGTAGCATTTACTTGCTGGAATCCATCTGCCCTTAGCTCAGGCATGCAGGTTGGAGGGTGTGCTTCACTGAGAAAACCCCTCCTCCCGTCCTGAAAACTCCCAGAATGTATGACACCATTTGTCTAAGCCTGGAAACCAGGAAGCAACTAAAAAATTTATGAAAAAAGTAAAAATAATGAGATATGATATACTTTGATATATTATATAAATTTCTATCTATTTACTAATGCTAGACAAAAAGGATTATAAATAGTCAATGTTGACTGAGTGAATATAGGTAAATATAAGTCAGATTGCTCCTTCCCCTAACCAGGAGATCAAGGGACCTAGGTATTCTGATTGTTGGTGCAATGCTTCAAATGCTGCTTTGTAAATAAATAAATGAACATTTTTTTTTTACCTGCAAAAAAATGTGCA